GCTGGTTGGGCTGTTTGCCCTGATGGCGACTGTAGCGATCGCGCGGGGATGGCTGCGTGCGGAGGAGGAGAAGAGGAAGGCCATCCAGCTTGTCGGTACGTTCGGCCGCGGCGGGCAGGGGCGCCGCGTGGGCAGGCTGCGCGGACGGCCGCAGAGGCCAGGGCTGTCGGGCCTTCGTTCTTTCGTTTGAAAGGCGATTCGGTTCCGGAGGTGCGGTGCTGCCCCGCCGGGCTGGTCGTACCCTGGATCTGGACGAGCAGAACTGACGCTGTGTCGGTGTCCGGGGCTGCTGCGGTAGCTCTGAGGACTCTAGCGCGCGGCGGCGTGTTTGCGGTATTACAAAATGGGGCCGGGCATAGGTCAGCGCGCGCTGCCGGACGAACTCTGCGACCTGCAGCGCTCCTCAGAGCACCTGGTACCCGGGGACAGGCTTGGGAGTCTTGAATGAGTGCAGTGGAGAAGTGTATCTAAAATGTGCATCTAGAATTTAAATCTGTGAATCATAATTCTGTAAAAGTGCGAGTGAAAAACATGCAATTGCCAAGTGCATGTCTGTATTTCAGCATTCTGGGAGGCTGAGGCAGGAGGATCTTATGTTGGGAGCCCAGCCTGGGAAGCCTAGTGACCCTGTCTCAAAAAAAAAAAAAAAAAAAAAAGGTGAATGTAGCTCAGTGCAAAGGACTTGGGTTCAGTCCTTGGTACTGCAAAATAAATAGTGTAATAAACTTCACAGAGAGTCAGTCCTAGAAACAAGACCACTGGTTTGGGAGAGGGAGTCACAGGAATCTTACGTGTAGGGAACTGTGAAATGGCTTTTTTGTTAATTAGGTGTTGGGTGCTAGAGACAGATTGTGGCCTTGATGGCCCTTTACCCCTGAGCTACATGGCCAGCCCATGTTTGGAAGTTTGCCAGGAAGCCACCAAGGAAGAGAGAGGCAAAACTCCTGATAAGGAGTCCCAAAACAGCACGTGGTATCACTCAAAATGCCTGGAGGAGCTTTTAGAGGAGAACCAGATTGTGGCCTTGCTTTGGGGACAAGGCTCTGGAGTTCTTTCTTGTAGGAATTGAGGAGCATCCACGCCTGCTCCCCCATCACCTGCCTGTTTCTCAAGTATTTTATGCAAAAGTGACAGCCACCATTGCTGGCACAGGGTCGATGCTCAAACACATGTTGTCTCTGAATTCCTGGAGGCCTTCTGCCTTAAATGCATGTGTTGCATGCTTTCTGTATATATTAATCTCGTCCACTCCAGACCCCGGGCCAGTTCCAAAGCCTCCGTTTTTGCCCACGTTGCAGGCTTTATCTCCTTGAGCACAAGGCCGCATGTGCTTCATCACTTGCTCTCCACTCACTTGCGGCCTGCTGAATCAGACTTAGTAAGTGCTTATGTGTGAGTGAATGGATGAACGGTGTCTTCCTTCCATATAGCCCAAAAAGCAAATGGACCTAAGAAGCCAGGATCTAAAAAGCAGAAACTGCAACAGCGGATTCGCAAGGAGAAGCCTCAGCAGCACAACTTCACCCACCGTCTTCTGGCTGCAGCACTGAAGGTATGTGGGTCCCCATGGGTCTCCCACACACAGGAGCCACACCCCTGTTGTCCTTCACTTTTGTCATCATCTGTGGTGTTTCAGACCCTGCTACCTCTGGCCGAAGTCAGTGGCCATTCCCATCCGATCCCTCCTCTTCCCAGGCTGTCTTCTTCAGCTTGCTCCAAGTTTGGCTTCTCTGTCTGTTCACACTTCCTCCACCCTTTCCCAGAGCCATAGTGGGAACATACTGTGTATGGACTTCAGCAGCAATGGCAAGTATCTGGCCACCTGTGCAGACGATCGCACCGTCCGCATCTGGAGCACCAAGGACTTCCTGCAGCGGGAGCACCGCAGCATGCGAGCCAATGTGGAGCTGGACCATGCCACCTTGGTGCGCTTCAGCCCTGACTGCAGGTGGGACGGGATGAAGCCTTGGGTTTGCCCGCAGAAGATCAGCCCCAGATCTGGTTGGGGGTAGTGAGGAGGGGCCCAGGGTCTCTTTGAGGGGCAAGAAGGGAGCATCCAGATATTGTGGACACTGCCTGAGGCTTCCTGGAGGGCTGTACCACTTCGCAGCAAGGAGACAGAGCCAAAAATCTCTTCTACCCAGCAACTTCCAAGGCCAGGCTTCCAAATGAGCCTTGGGAGCTCTCAGAGTTTGTTTGTTTGGTCCCCCCCTCACCCCACCCTTGCAAAGTGAAAATCAACTGAGGACCTTGCGCTCAGACAAGTGCATCGCCACTGAGCTACATCCCCAGCCCATTTCAGAGTTTTTTGAATCTTAGGGAAAAGGTGAAGGAGCCAAGCAATGAGAATCCTTTGATTTGTTGTTGTTGTTGTTGTTGTTGTTTGTTTATTGTTTTTTGTTTTTATTCTAGTGGTTGAACCCAGAGCTTTTGCACTGAGTTACATCCCAGCCCTTTTTACTTTTTATTTTAAGACAGGTGTCTAAGTTGGCAAGACTGGTCTCAAATTTTCAACCTTTCTGCCTCCCAGCGTGCTGGGCTTATAGGCATATTTTAAGATATTTTGAATAAGATGTTATATTGTAAGGTCAAACACACTGTAGGGTGTGAGGGGAGATCTTGATTTTTTTTCCAGAAGACCAGAGTAGGACTTAGAACCCTAGGCCTCCATCTCCAAATGAGAGGAACCTGTCTCCTCTGTCTCTAGAGCTTTCATTGTCTGGCTGGCCAATGGGGACACCCTCCGGGTCTTCAAGATGACCAAGCGAGAAGATGGAGGCTTTACCTTTACAGCCACCCCAGAGGACTTCCCTAAAAAGCACAAGGCACCTGTCATCAACATTGGCATTGCTGACACAGGTGAGAGACATTCAGAGGGTGGAACTTGCCTGAGGCTTAAAAAAAATGACCTGACCTAGGTGTTTGCAGAGTGAGTTGTTGGTTCCTGAGGGATTTGTCAAGCCTCAGTGTGCGCCAAGGGGCTGTGGCTCGAAGCAGTCTGGCTCTGTCCTCCCCTGAAGTCCTGAGAGCCAAAGAATGTCCCAGGAGGCAGCAGGGATGAGCCACAGTTTTCAGCCCAATCCTTATCTGCGGTGACCCTTGGCCTGGGAGGGGATTATGGGTACTTTGGACAGTAGAGGCCTCATGGATGTCTTCTTGGAGAAGGTCAGTTGGTCAGGTTCGCTCACGTTGCTCTCTTCCCCTTAGGAAAGTTCATCATGACAGTCTCCAGTGACACAACTGTCCTCATCTGGAATCTGAAAGGCCAGGTGTTGTCTACCATCAACACCAACCAGATGAACAACACCTATGCTGCCATATCCCCTTGCAGCAGGTGCGGAAGGGGTGGGCCTGAGTTGGTGCAGAGCAGAGGCAGCCTGCAGGGGGACTGGGTGCTCAGGTTGGAGTCTTGGGATGCTTGGATCAGGTCTCAGCTCTCCCCATTGTGGTGATGGGATGTTGTGCAAGCTACCAGTCCTCAGTCTCTGTCTTCTGCCATCTGCACTTTTTAGAGGGTAGGGTTGGGATGCTTTGTGTCTTAGAACAAGCTGTAAGGTCACTTACACAAAGCACTTGGTATATTTTGTTTTGTTTTTGTTGTTTTGAGTGTTTTTGGTACTAGAGATTGAACCCAGGGTCTTTGGACTGAGCTACATTCCCCAACCCTCCTTTTTGCTTTTATTTTGAGTCACTCTTCCTGAGTCAGTGAGTTACCCAGCCTAGGCTTGAACTTGTGATCCTCCTGCCTCAGCCTCCCAGAGTGCTGGAATTCCAGGTGTGAACCACCGTGCCTAGAATTAGAAGCACTTTGTAACAGCTATCTAGGGCTGGAGGTAGGGCAGTGGTAGAACATTTGCCTAGTATGTTCAAGCCTCTTGGTTTGATCCCCAGCACTGGAAAAAAAAAAAAAAATGCCTTTTTTTTTTTTTTTTTTTTTTTTTTTTTTTTCTTGGTACCAGGAATTGAGCTCAGTGCCTCGTGCTTGCCAAGCAGGGTGCTGGCTGCTGAGCTATATCCCTGGCCCTAAAAAATGCTTTTTTCTAAGGAAAGATGTTTAAGGGGTTTGTAAGTGCCCTTCAAATGCAGTTTTCAAGGAAGCTTGGTTTTGTGACAGGTTTGTGGCCTCGTGTGGCTTCACTCCGGATGTGAAGGTCTGGGAAGTCTGCTTTGGGAAGAAGGGGGAGTTCCAGGAGGTCCTGCGAGCCTTTGAACTGAAGGGCCACTCGGCAGCTGTCCACTGCTTTGCCTTCTCCAACGACTCCCGGCGGTGAGTGCGAGGTTGCGTCCTGATCGCCTCCAGGGCCCTTCTGCCTGTGGGTGCTGGTGCTCTCAGGGGTCATAGGAAGTAGTTGGGCTTCCTGGCCGCAGTCCCTTGGGCTGTCCCAGGGGTCTCCCTGCCAGGGGGTGGAGTTGGGGCTCGAGCTGTGATGTCCCATGTTGCAGGATGGCCTCTGTGTCCAAGGATGGCACATGGAAACTGTGGGACACCGACGTGGAATACAAGAAGCAGCAGGACCCCTATTTGCTGAGGACAGGCCGCTTTGAAGAGGCCAGCACCATGCCATGCCACCTGGCGCTCTCCCCTGACACCCACGTCTTGGCCTTGGCCTGTGGCACCAGCATTCATCTGTACAACACACGACGCGGCGAGAAGGAGGAGAACTTTGAGCAGGTCCATGGGGAGTGTATCACTGACTTGGCCTTCGATGTCACCGGCCGCTTGCTGGCCTCCTGTGGGGACCGGGCCGTACGGCTCTTCCACAACACTCCAGGCCACCGGGCAGTGGTGGAGGAGATGCAGACCCTGCTGAAGCGCGCCTCCAGTGACAGCACCCGCCAGAGGCTGCAGCAGCAGCTGGCCCAGGCCCAGGAGGCCCTCAAGAGCCTGGGTGCCCTGAAGAAGTGACTGGCTCAGGCAGGGTCCTGCTGCCTGTGCCCACTGCTACCACTTTCTTCCCAGGTTGCTCCGGGGTGGAAACCTTCCAGAAGGAGTTCCCTGATTTTCTTACTGGTCTCTGTCCCATTGAACATATTCTTGGCTACTTAGAGCTCACTCTCCCCTTACTGGTTCTGACTCCTCCTGGACCAAGGAGCACGGTGCTTCTCTCCTGGGTGCCAGAGGTGGTGTCTGTCCTCATCCAGCACCGAGGAGAGTGGTAGGGGAGCGAGAGAACTTGGCCTTTTGACAACGCACCCGACACCCAAAGAAGTTCGTAAATACAGAGGTGAGGCCTAGGAACACCCTCAAGCAAGGCGGCAGCTTTGCAGGGTGAGACGTTGGGAACCTTCTGGTCACGGAGCGGGACAGTGAGGTCAGGGGAAGCTGAGTCTTCACTGGGACCAGGCTCCTAACTCCGGCAAAAAGGAAATGGAACAGATTTCATTCTGGGCTTTCATTTTCTTCTTTGCAAAATGGAGAACAATGCCGTGGCACCTTCCACAGAGGCTCCAATGCAAAGTGAGTAGAAAGTCCCCTCACCTCAGAGAGCAAGGAGGAGATGGTGAGTGTCATTAATGAGCAGCTAGAAGTGAGGATCAAACAGTGTGGGTGAAACCAAACTTGAAACACAGAAACACGTTCCTTAGGGCGCCACTGGCTAGGACTTGACACATTTTGTACGTGGGTCAGCTTCACATTTTGGGAAGGAATAGTGGGGCTATATAATAGAGGTGGGGCTCCTACCTTTCCGAAGGTTACATCCTGCTTGAGGTGCCTTCTTCAGCTCATCACTTAGGTGAATACCCATGCTGACTGGCACAACACCAGACAGGGATGATAAATGTGAAGTGGTTTCTGCCATCAAAGATGGCTGGAGGGAGAAAATAAAGACATTTTTCATTTATTCGTAGCTGTAGTGAACTGTGTTAAAAGTCAAGAGAGGATTGCAATCAGGATGGAGGCACTGGGTAGGAAGTGGAAGGGATACTTTTTGCTAAGGTGTTAGGTCTTCAGAAGTTTGAATTTTGGGCTAGGCATGGTGGCACACACCTGTAATCCCAGCATTCAGGAGGCTGAGGCAGGAAGATTGCCCCAAGTTCAAGGCCAGCCTGGGCTACATAGCAAGACTCTGTCTCAGAACAGAAAGTTTGAGTTTTGGGATTTGGGGACTCTGTAGGAAGAGGCCAGTAGGATTTGGGATAAGGCAAAATATATTCATCAAAAATCCAAGTCTTGATCTCTTGACCAAAACCAGGGCCTGCTGTAGTTGTCCCCAGTGTTGTTGAATGTCAGAGCAAGCCACAAATTTGCTGTGGTCCTTGATTGTTTCCTTTTTTTTCTTTTCTTTTTCTTTTTGACACCAGGGATCAAACTCAGGACCTTCCTCTTGTGAGGCAGGCAACAGCACCACTGAGCTAAATCCCTGGCCCCAATCGTTCCTTTTTGTTTTTGTTTTTGTTTTTTTTGTTTTGTTAAGTGTTGTTGAATGTCAGAGCAAGCCACAAATTTGCTGTGGTCCTTGATTGTTTCCTTTTTTTTCTTTTCTTTTTCTTTTTGACACCAGGGATCAAACTCAGGACCTTCCTCTTGTGAGGCAGGCAACAGCACCACTGAGCTAAATCCCTGGCCCCAATCGTTCCTTTTTGTTTTTGTTTTTGTTTTTTTTGTTTTGTTATGTTTTGAGACAGGGTCTCACTATGTAGTTGAGAATGACCTGGAACTCACTATGTAGCCCAGGCTGGTCTCGAACTCACAGTGATCTTCCTGCCTCAGCCTCCCGTGCTGGGATTCCTTCCTCTTGTGAGGCAGGCAACAGCACCACTGAGCTAAATCCCTGGCCCCAATCGTTCCTTTTTGTTTTTGTTTTTGTTTTTTTTGTTTTGTTATGTTTTGAGACAGGGTCTCACTATGTAGTTGAGAATGACCTGGAACTCACTATGTAGCCCAGGCTGGTCTCGAACTCACAGTGATCTTCCTGCCTCAGCCTCCCGAGTGCTGGGATTACGAGCGTGTGCCACCATGTCTGGCCCCAGTCGTTCCCTTTTGACACCCTCCATTCACCACCACTACCTCATCCTTGTCTCAAACCCCTTTGCTTATGCTTCAGGTGATACAGAGAGCCTGCCACTATCTTGGTCCTAGCCACTGTCACCCAGTGGCTCCTGTTTTCCTTTGTTGCCTAGCTAATTTGCTTTTCAGCATAATGGACTGATCATCTGACAGTGTAAAACAGATCACGTTCTTCCTTTCAAAGGTTCTCTTCGCTCTTGGAACAAAAATCACAATTCTCACCTTGGCTGGCATGGTGTTGTGTAACCTCACTGTCCCTGTGATCCCTTTGTGCTCTCCAGCCATGCCAGTCTTGCTGCTCCAGAATGGGCAAGCTCTTTGTAGCCTCTGTGCCTTGCCGATCCCTCCTGTGGAAGCATTTTTCTTCTCTGTTGACAGCAGGCTGGCCACAACTCAGTCCTGGGTTTCTTTGTACCTTGCGGTTGTCCTCCCTGCTGCCACATCTGAAGCAGCTGTCTCTGCAGGTCATCACAGGCACCACAGCTGGTTTCCTTTTATGTTGTATCACTCAAAGCTGTCTGAAAGAAGCTTGTCTGGATATTTGTCTGCTTCTGGGTGTCAGGCTTCGATACTTAACGAATCTCAAGTGGACACTAAAATCACTAGAGCCTGGTGAGCTAGAGGGCAGGGGTCCTGGGAGTGGAGCAGGGAAGGCTGCTGTGCAAGGTACCTGTCAGAAGCTTGCCTTGGGCACCTCACTAAAAACATGAAGCACTCCGGACAACAGGAGACACTGATGTGGGCGGGATGTGACCTGCCCGTCTCTTACTGGCAGCTTGAGGATTGAAGAACACACGAGAACATGAGCTGTGTGAGGACTGGGTGTGGTTTGAGCTGGGTGCCAGGCACAGCAGCTGGCAAAGAATAAGCCCTGGGTAAATGCTGACCACAGACCAGCGGGCAGTGGGTGGAGATGGTGGTCCTGCCTGCATCTTGTACTCCCAGCCTCCACTGTGGGCTTCTGTTTTTTGTTTGTTTTGTTTTGTTTTTTTTGAGACAGGGTCTCACTACGTAGTTGAGACTGACTTGGAACTCACTGTGTAGCCCAGGCTGGTCTCGAACTCAGCAATCCTCCTGCCTCAGCCTCCCAAATGCTGGGATTACAGGTGTGCGCCACCATGCCCGGCATGGACTTCTGTTCCTAAGGGTGATGGAACGGCACCATGGCCTGGCGGATGCTGGATTGTCAGGATAATGAAACTTTCCTTGGCACACCTGTTTGGAGAAGCATCTGGCCTTCATGCTCCATCCAGGGAGAAGAAGGACTGTGAGTTACTGAAGTCACATCTTGGTCCAGTTGTAGCTGGGTCACTTACTGGCTTGTGCCCAAGTGCAGAGAGGTAACTTGGCCTCTGAGTTAGTTTCCTCATCTGTAAAATGGGAATAAATTCTGTCCTTGGCTAACTTGGCTACGTTGTGAGTGTCTGAGTGAAAACCCTACAGAAAGCTCATTGTACAGTCTCAAAGGACTGCAAGTTTTTCCTAGTGACGAGGCTGCTTCTCTTGTAACCACAGAGAAAGTGGGGTACTAAGGTAGAGCAGTGACTGCTAAGTTTGTTAGGTCAAAAAGTCTTTGTGAATAAAGGAAGCATCAATTTTTCAATATTACTATTTCAACTTCTTTGGGTTTAAATTTTTCAATGTAGAAAGTTGGGGGAGCTGGGGATATAGTTCAGTGGTAGGCACTTGACTAGCATATCCCAGGCCCTGGGCTCCATCCCCACCACTGCCCCAAAACAGTTTAAAGTGGTGGCACATAGCCTATTTTTAATTTGTCATCAAAAACTTGAAAAAATTAAGTCAGGCAGGATGGTACCTGCCCAGGAGGCTGAGGCAAGAGGATCACAAATTTGAACCCAGCCTGGAAAAATTATAGGCAAGACCCTGTCTCAGAATTTTTAAAAAGAGCCGGGCGTGGTAGCACATGCCTGTAATCCCAGCACTCGGAAGCCTGAGGCAGGAGGATCACTGTGAGTTTGAGACCAGCCTGGGCTACACAGTGAGTTCCACGTCAGTCTCAACTACTATAGTGAGACCCTGTCTCAAAAAACAAGAAAAAAAGTTTTTAAAAAGAATTGAATTTAAAGGAGTGGGTTGTAGCTTGTAGCTTGGTAATGGCCCTGGGTTCAAACCCCTCCCCCCCAGTTTGCACAGTTAAAAGATCTCAGTGGCTGATGCATTTGGTTTTTGTCGAGCTAACACAGGATCATATTCAAGCCCAGCCTGGGAAGCAGCAGGCAGCTTAGTGATTTAGTGAGACCTTGTTTCAAAGATAAAAGCTGAGAATGTAGTTCAGCGTATGGGTCCTGTGTTCAAACCCCAGTACAGGGGAAAAAGAAAACAGGTGACAGTGTGGGGCATTCTGTAATCTATAAATAATAGTTTTTAGGTTCCCACCTCAATCGTTCTCTTACATAGACATCGAAGCACTCAAGGAGGTGGGAGATGCAGGGTCTTGTGGACAAATACAAGGCGAAAACGGGGATCTGGGTCTTCAGGGCAGGGGTTGGGGTGCGCCTAGGACAGATGGAGGAGCTTGGGCTGTGAAGTAAAAGGGAGTTAACGGCTGGGGTACGGCTCACATGCACAAGGTCCTGGGTTGGATCCCCAGCAAAAGGAAGGAAAAGGGGTGGGAAGGGAGAGGAAAGAAAAAGATAATGGGAGAAACCTCAGGGGAAGCCCGGCCAAGGTGGGATAAGGAGAGAAGTTGGGAAAAACTGCCTGGTGTTGGACTGCACACCTCACCTGGGAGGTTTACGACCAGAATTGGAGAAGTCTCAAGGGTTGGCCTGTCTCCTGGCATTTCTGTTCGTTCTGCCCTGCATTTTACTTTCTGTTGCTTTCTTTCCTTCACCTCAAGGGCAGGTGACTTTGCTTACTCACCTGTGCATCACACACAATGTCCACTACAGTAGGTGGCTGGGGCTCAGGCAACAAGTACTCAGTTATTTTGCAGCCGCTAGGTGTGAGAAATGGAAGCACCACCTTTGATCCTGTTATTTCTCACAGCATGATCCTCTCCATGTGCTAGTTCAGCTCTTCCCCACCTCAGGCAGGCAGGCAGATGCTCCTCCATATGCTCTTCAGGCCAGGATTCTGGTTGCTCATGACAGTCATGACCAGAAGTCGCGTCAAGTTTAGGGTTAGTGGGCCAGGGATTTAGCTCAGTGACACGGCACCTGCCTCACAATCGCAAGGTCCTGAGTTCGATCCCCAAGACCAAAATTTAGGGTTAGGCATTTCTCTGGACAAGAGAGGAGGAAGTTTCTCTAGAGGTGGGAGAAGTAGCCACTAGTGATCTGCTTCTTGTATATTCCCTAAAACACTGCTACAAGACTGAAGCAACACTGCAAGGCATTAATGCCCATCTGAAAGTGGCGGGGGGCAGCAAGCTGTTGAACTGTGCTTAAGAGAGAATAGTCACATATTTACTGAGCACTTACAGTGTTTGTGGACACAGGCTTTGGAGTAGTACATCAACTCTTGTCAGAGGTCAGCTTCAAGGTCACTTAGTCTAGATTAGGTTTGTCACAGGACCGTCATTTCCCTTAGCCAAGCATTTATAAAAAGGCATTTTAGATCCAGGTGTAATGGCACATGCCTGTAATCCCAGTACACTGGGATGCTGGGTAGGCAGATTCCAAGTTGGAGCCCAGCCTGGATAATTTAGTGCATTAGCAACACCCAGTGTCAAAAAGTAAAAAGTGCTGGGGATGTAGCTCACTGTGAAGGCTTTACAATCAATCCCTAGTTAAAAAAAAAAAAAAAAAAAAAGGCAACTCAGCTGAGTGTAGTGCACCCTGGTAGTCCCAGCACTCAGGAGGCTGTAGCAGGAGAATTGTGAGTTGGTCAACCAGAGCTACATAGCAAGACCCCATCTCAACACACACACACACACAAAACATTTTAAGTATGCTCTCTGCATGCTCTAGTGAACCAGAAGCATTATTTTTGTTTTGGTTTTTGTGGTACGTGGAATAGAACTCAGGACCTCAAGGCCAGTTCACTATTGAGGTAAATCCTGAGCTCTTCCCCCCACCTTGGGGACTAAACTCAGGGCCTTTGAACCAAGCTACAAGTCACAGCCATCTATCTTATCTGAGACAGGGTCTCCCTAAATTGCCAAGTTGCCCAGGCTGTACTCAAAGTGATCTTCCTGCCTCAGGCTTCTGGTGCTGAGAACCACAGGCACCTGCCACCGTGTCCAGTACTGAGCCCTTAAAAAAAAACAGACAAGGTCTCACAAAGTTGCCCAGGGGGTGCTTGAATTTGAGATCCTCCTGCCTCAGCCTCCAGAATAACTGGGATTATAGGTCTGTGTAAACACACCTGGTGAACTAAAAGCTCTTTGAAAGCAAAAACACATCTTCATCACTGGGAACAGAGCCCTGCCAAAATAGAAGTCATTTAATCAACAATTATTGAATTACATGTCAGGGAAGTAAAGTGCTAAGTATGAAGAATATCCCCTAAAGTTTGAATCTGAACTGGATGTCGGAAAAGTAGTTTGCTCAAAAGGTGAAGAGGTAAGAGAATGGGAAGATGGGAAGGCATGCTGAAGCCAGGCCTGAAATTCCCTGTGGTTGGAGCAGCCTTTTCCTCTGAGGTGAGGTGCACAACTTCAGTTCCATCAGTCAAGCTCATTGAAGCAGCAACAGCAGGTCGGTAGTGACCTCTGATTCCCCTGGGAAAGACGGAGGGCCCCGCCCACCAGCTGCGCTTCGCACCTTGCCCTTTGTACAGCACGTGCGCCGGACTCCTTTGGCGCCCCCTAACGGCGAGAAGCCCTAGGGACGCCCCGGGCGGGGCGCGCAAGCGCACTGAGGCCTCGAGCCCCAAGG